CTCTTTATGTCAAAAAGTCTCTGTATGTCTAGAATTGCCCCCTCTGCCCCCAGTGTCTGAAGTCCTGGGTTATATGGGAGACATCTAGCAATGCTCTATCATTCAGAACAAAGGTTTGTTAATAGGTAGAAAGAGATACCAGATCCAAAAACCATCCTCAGCTCTGCGACAAGAAAATGATTGTCTTTGCAGATCTGTCACCAGACTGATCCCATTTCTGTCCACTTGAGGCAGAAATTGGAGGTTTGGGGGTAGAACATTAATTTCTTATCCATCAGTTCACCTATCACCAGTTAACAGAGGGTAGATTCCACAGGAGAGAGTACTGACCTGCTTAAATAGTGCTTTCACTGGAGCAAACTGTTGTGTGAGGGAGAGGACAAGTTAAAGGCAAGGGGCCTTGGTGGCATACAAGTAGCCTGCCACCCCAGCATCTGTGCCATAAGGCTGACTGATGTCAGCCCAGACTACAAAATGTTGAAGAAAGCAGCCTTTTGGTGGGCAGATTCTATCCAGCACACCACAGCTGTGATCCCAGTGCGGTGTCACATGACAGTTATCCCCTTCAGGTTGTTCCTTTGTCGCCAGCAGTAGCCACACACGAAGGTGGTGGCTCTTTTTCCTTCAGACACTGCCGTCTGTGGCTTTGCTGTCTACCGGGACACTTTGAAAACAGTCTGCATCTTCACTGCTAAAAATAACTCTGTGTCTGTTTGTTCCTGCGTTATCCCAGTAGAGAAATACTCCAGTATTAGTGTCAGATAACTGGGGCAGGTCATTCATGAACGCAATAGTGATCTTGCCTCGTTGTCTCAGAGTAAAAACCAGAAGAATCCCATATCCCTCTGCAAAGTTGTTGTCCCTGCCTGGACATTACACCAGGATAAGTAGCACATAATGCTTCGCCGTTATGAGGAAGTTATTTCTTACACAGCCTGTGCACATAGGGAAGAGCTGCTCTTGATGACAAGAACCATCTAGCAAAATCAGCTGTAAGCGAAGTTACAGCTCTGCAACTGGCAGTTACTGGGAGACCAGGTAGAACAAAACACAGGAGCTTGTCTGGAGCTGAGCTCTTTCAAGAAATGACTGGGTTGCATCTATGGCCCCCTCCACTTTGCAAGGCCTCACTTTAAGTACTTTGTAAACCAGTTATTGCAGGAGCAAACTTCACTCTGAAGTCAGGCCAAATTCTAACCAACTTGACTCTTTAGGTGACAACCATTTTTGGTTGTAGCTCTCCAGTAACGTTTTCAGTTAGATGGCAGAGCTGCGTTCTGGGAGTTGGGACCGGTGGTCTGGGCAGGCCATACGTTACGTTTAGAATGCTGTTCCATGTCGTAAACACTCGCTTACCAGGACTTCAGCGTTCAACTTGATTTTAAGTGTAGGCTGGGAACCTTTACTTTTTTTTTTGTTTGTTTTTTGAGTACTACTGATTTTGCGTTTGTATTGTATTTAATTCACGAGAGGGCAAGAAGGCAGAAAAAAGCTATCAGGTTTTTTTTGCAATTAATAAAACTGCAGCATTTAATTTTCACAATAAAGTGACTATTGATTTACCTCTGTGTAGAGTTGCTTATTTGTGCCGCGATTAAGTATATGAGAACTTTTGCATTTACTGTATCGATACTCTACGAAGAGTTTCTGGAAACGTTTCACTACATGTCCTCGTTGTACAGGCACCTTTGAATTAAGTGGAGGACTTGCTCGCTGTGTATTTGCTGAGATCTGATCAGGTGATGATGTTGGTAAGGTGTAAGTCTGCATTTTTGTAGGGGTTCAGAGGGTGGTGATTATTTTCCATGAAAGATCCAGCTTGTTTGGTTTTTTTTTTTTAAATATGTTAAGTGTCTCTGTGTACCTTGGGATGGCCAAGACCAGTACTACCACCAATAAAGTACCTGGTATTTATCTTTAGCTGTGTTTTTCTCTGCGCTCCCATTATATCGTGGAGGGAGAAGACATAGCCATGGGGATCCTACTGTTTAAGCCTTGGTGAGAGGGAGAACATGCGTGTGTGTGTGCCACGCATACGTGAACTCTCTGCTAGTAACTCCAGGTACGAGAGCAAGTCATAGTTCGCTTTTCTGGGTTTTGCTGGATGCAGAACACCAGTGTTGGCCCATAGCGTAGGCGGCTGAAAGGCTGAAGAACAGTTGTCTCTCATCAGATGACCAGAGGTCACACGGATAACAAATGACTGGCAGAAAGTCGAGGTTTGGTGCCTTAGCACCAGGAGACAAGAACGTAATCACAGAATGGTTTGGGTTGGAAGGGACTTTCAGCATTTTAGAAACTGGCTGTTGACTGAACAGCCGTGATTACAGAAGTGTATGTAGGAGAAGGATTTCTCAGATTAATTTAGTCTAACATGCAGGAAGTACCGAGTCCTCTTGAGTACCAAGTTAATTCTTCACGTGTGAAATTGAATTAAAAATACCCAGAGAATAGGTCCTGAACAATCAGTGGTTGAAATAAATTAAGCTACTAAAGGCACTTTTAATGGTAGCTCTTTTAATTTCGACACCACAGCCATTGCAGAGGCTCGGGCAAGGCTCAACCACAAGTTTGACCTGATGTACGCCAAGAGAGCTTTTGTGCACTGGTATCTTAGGGAAGGCATGGAGCAGGGAGAATTCTCAGAGGCCCGAGAAGACCTGGCTGCCCTGGAGAAGGACTATGAAGAAATGAAATCTGACTCGTTTGAAGAAAATGTTGGAGAGCAATCTTAAAATTCACCCTGCCCTTTCCTGTGCATAAGATTGCCTGTCTCTTTTGTTCATGTGGCTGCATTTCTGCTTATCTCACACACACCAAGTCCACTGCCATCTTAGTAGATTATAAACGGGATGAGTTCTCCACTATGAGATCACAAGACAGTAAATGCAGGCTATATGACCAGCTAATCATTAGTCACTGCCTTGGAGGGTGACAGGCTTCATATTTTTCGCTAATACACCCTGAAAGGATCTCTGTCATTCATTCAATACAAAGATACAGTCCTGTAGCTGTAACATTATTTGAGAAACTCGTGCTTCAAAATGTCCCACGTAATTGCTACAGACACTGTGTAACGGGGAGTTACCTACCTTGCTCAGTGTTTATTTCTTACTAATTCAAAACAGAATGTTTGTAAAGCTGTAAGACGCAGTGAGAACTCTGTTGGTGCCAAGAACATACAGCTTGTCCTAGTGCCCTTGCTTCCAGTGAATCCACAGTGCGGGGTGGTTACAAGGTGTAACCTTTGCCAGGTGTCATGAGCAGGGGCACGGGGCAGGTACTCTCAGCTTCAGCAGCAGTTTAGAGCACACTGTGCTTGTGCAATGGCTGTGGAACAATCGTAACTGGACTGGTCTGGAGGCGCCAGTACACCCACAGTTTGTTGGACTGCTAAATAAACAACGTCTGTGACAGCGTCAAGAGCCTTCACATGACCAGCTTGTGGCACACAGGAGCATTCCCAGCTTCATCAGGCTTACTGAGATCCCAGTAAATCAGACCCGTGACAAAAAACTGTGTGCAATAGGTATAGGTGGGATGTCTAAGAACACCAGCTGCGAATTCACAGCTTAAGCCTTCATAAGGTGTATTTTTGTATATTCACATTGGTTTATGATTTTAGAACAACAGGTTGTTAAGGCGTGCAGGTAGGTGGCCAGCCACAGCCTGAGGCTAAACTGGTGGGATAACAAGAGAAACTGTTGGATGTTGCAGATAATGGATCAGGAAAAGTGGCTGGCCAGCCCTAACCTGTGTCTAATGTAAGGAGGTAATGGCAGGAGGAGCTACCGGGCATTACATACCCTGAAAGGGGAGTCTTGGGACACCCTTTGAATGTAAGATAACAACAGAAAGTGAAGAAAGTGGCTTACTGGGGGACTCACTGAAGTACCAAATAAAGGTGTAAAATTAGCAGAACGGGGCCAGTAGTGAAAAAGTGTGTGTGCCAGTTTAGGGAGGGGGAAGCAAGAGAAAGGTAGTAAAAGGTAATGAAGATGGTGTCTGTTTGGGGGTACTCATCTGTGCTGGTTTCAGGCAGGAAAGAGCTGCTTTTCTCCACAGTGCTGGCTGGTCCAGGCTGGCCCAGGGAGTGTTTCATCCTATGGTACATCAGGCTC